TTATATTGTTCATCACTATTAAAACATATAAACTGGTACAATGGTCATATCTAAATCAGCATATACAGATATACTAATATTCTGCAAAGAACTTGTTTCTGAATTAATCCTAAGTATTCCACAAAAAGAATACAAAAATAAGAACAAAATATTAAATTTATAACTTTTAAATATAATTTGAAATTACTTACTGTACAAAAGAAGATTTCTCCTGCCTTCTGTTTCTAAAAATAAAATTAAAAATTAAATTTGTCCAAGGATATCATGACAAAGCATTAGGAAAAATTGCTTAAGGACGGCGCGTGCATGGTGGCCATGCTTGTAATCCCCAGAACTTTGAGGGGCCAAGACGGGGTGGATCACAAGGTCAGGGAGTTTGAGATCAGCTGACCAACATAGTGGAAACCCTACTAAAAATACACAATATGCCGGGCGTGGTGGCGTGCACATGTAATCCCCAGCTACTCAGGAGGCTGAGGCACGAGAATTACTTGAACCTGGGAGGTGGAGTTGCATGTGAGCCGAGATCGCACCACTGCACTCTAGCCTGGGTGACAGGGCAAGACTCTGTCTCAAAAAAACTAAATAAAAAAAATTTTAAAAAAATTACTTAAGGGGCCGGCGCGGGTGGCTCAAGCCTGTAATCCCAGCACTTTGGGAGGCCAAGACGGGCGGATCACGGAAGTCAGGAGATCCGAGACCATCCTGGCTAACACGGTGAAACCGCTGTCTCTACTAAAAAAAAAATACAAAAAATTAGCCGGGCGACGGTGGCAGGCGCCTGTAGTCCCAGCTACTCGGAGGCTGAGGCAGGAGAATGGCATAAACCCGGGAGGCGGAGCTTGCAGTGAGCCGAGATCTGGCCACTGCACTCCAGCCTGGGGCGACAGAGCGAGACACGCGTCTCAAAAAAAAAAAAAAAAAAATTATTTAAGGACATTAACAACATTTAAAAACATTATTAAAAAATTATTAATCTGCTAGGGCGGTGGCTCAGCGCCTGTAATCCTAGCACTTTGAGAGGTCGAGGCAGGCAGATCACTTGAGGCCAGGGGTTCAAGACCAGCCTGGCCAATACGGTGAACCGTCTCTACTAAAAGTAAAAAATTAGCTCGTGGTCTGACTAGAATACTTTTCTTACAGTAAGATAGTCTATATGTCTGGCCTAAAAAAAGAGATATTTTTATCCAGTCAGTTAAGGAAATAGGTAAAAAGTCACTCATTGCTAGTGGTAGTATGATTTGTAGAAGGCAACTTGGTAATATCAATCAGAATTTTTAATGCACATGCCCTTTGACTTCAGTTTTATGTCTGGAAATTATCTCACCAATATACTTGTAAATGTTTGAAATGATGAATAGATAAGGTTATTCGCTGCAGTGTTTACTATAATAGTAAATGTTGTGAAAGGTCCTGAAGGTCCATCAATAAGGGACTGGTTAAATAAATGGTACATTTTCCGTATTAATTGACTACTGTGCAGCCGGAAAAAAAAATTGTATGCTAAATAGAGAAATCTCTAAGCTATATTACTTAAGATAAAAAGCAAAAACAAAGTACATCATGCATTACCACTTGTGTAAAACAGGGAAGAAGAAAAGCGTGTGTGTGTGTGTATCGTCTCGTGTGTGTAAGAGACGGGGTTTCACTATGTTGGTCAGGCTGATCTCAAACTCCTGACCTTGTGATCCACCCGTCTTGGCCCCTCAAAGTTCTGGGATTACAAGCATGAGCCACCATGCCCGGCCGTCCTTAAGCAATTTTTCCTAATGCTTTGTCAGTGTATCCTTGGACAAATTTAATTTTAATTTTATTTTTAGAAACAGAAGCAGGAGAAAATCTTCTTTTGATACAGTAAGTAATTTCAAATTATATTTAAAAAGTTATAAATTAATATTTTGTTTCTTATTTTTGTATTCTTTTTGTGGAATACTTAGGATTAATTCAGAAAACAAGTTCTTTGCAGAATTTAGTATACTGCTATATCTGATTAATATGACCATTGTACAGTTTATAGTTTTAATAGTGATGAAACAATATAATACATAAACTGTTATATTTATCAACTAATGTAAAACAATAGATAGCAAGTCTTTAGTTTTTTTATTAAGTCTTTCTTATAATATTATTACATAGAAAAGCAAATACCAGTAGCTCTTTAACAAATGAAAAGATGGCTATCTTTATTCATCATAAGAGAAGTACAAATTTGAGTATATTGATATATTTTTTGCCAGGCGTGGTGTCTCACGCCTGTAATCCCAGCGCTTTGGGAGGCCGAGGCTGGTGGATCACCTGAGGTCAGGAATTCGAGACCAGCTTATTGTAACACATAAAAGTAAGTCGTGTCTTTTTTTTCAACCCACTTCTGCCAGATATTTCCTTTTTATTGGGAGTTTAATTCACTTAATTTATAATTACTAAAAAGGGACCTTATTTGCCTTTTGCTTATTGTTTCTCTCTGGTGTTCTATAGCCGTTTGCTTGTATTTCTACTTCCTCCATCCTCTGCCGCTTTGTGTTTTGTTTGTTCTTGCGTGTATCTTTTGGTTCCCTTCTCATTTCTTTTGTTGTGGTATATTTTATACTATATTTTCTTAGTGGCTACCATGCAGATACAATTTAAATTCCCAAGTTTATGGCAATTTCGTTTGAATTGACATCAATTAGTTAAATTGCATTTAATCCTCTGCTCTATACGGCTCCTTTCCCTTTATTTCTGTTATTGTGACAAATTCTACATTTTATGTGTTATATGCCATTTACATGGTTTTATATTACTTGTTTTACATATTTGTCTTTTTCCGATTTAAATCGGTGTAAAAAGGGAGTTAAAAAACAAAATACAATTATGTGAATTTTAGATAGTAAAAGAATATTGGTAATAATGGTTAATGATATTTTCAGAAGTTTCTTTTTTATTTCTTTTGTTTTGTTTATTTTTGTTTTCGTTTTTGCTTTTGAAGTTTAGACACCCACAAACCAACAACCTTCATAACAGGTCGTTTGTCTTTTTCATCGGTCGGAGTGAGAAGTTCATCAGTGGTTACTTGATGTTGTTCTTCAAGGGGCTCTATAGTCATTCATCCGTAGCTCTCTGCCAGAGATTTTCGCACAATTCTCATGATACTGATTTACAGACTTCTTGTAGAGATAGTGATGTACCCCCAGAGGGGTTCAGCAGGTGTGCAACCTAACCACTGAATCAGAACTGGTTTTTCCTTATGTTGACTCTGTGTCTCCGCGTCTTCTTTAAGCTCAATTAATCTTAGGATTTGCATAGTGGATGTTGGTACTTCTGCTTTGTGCTGTGTTAGCTTAGTTTACAAGTAGCTGATGAGGCGTTTCAGCGATTGTCAGCCTTCTTTTATGTCTACTCATGATCTAGTGGTTCTTCTTTCTGTTCTTTTGCATAGGGAAAAGGGTCTATAATATAAATTTTTTTAGCTTTTGTTTTTTAAGAATGTTTAATTCTCCTTTTTTTTTTTTTCTGTGTTTTTATGAACGAAGTGGAGGTCAATTAATTACGGAGTGTACCATTTATTTATAACCTCACAGTCCCTTATTTGATGGCCCTTCCGGAGTGCGCTTGTTCACCTCTACTGCTACTGTATCCTAAGGCAGACTATTGGTGCAGCGGAAGATAATCCTGATCTTCATCATTTCAACATTTACAAGTATATTGGTGAGATAATTTCCAGACATAAACTGAAGTCAAAGGGCATGTGCATTAAGGAAGTGTCGGATTTGCAATATTACCAAGTTGCCTTCTACAAATCATACTAGCCAGGTAGGCAGGAATGTGTGATTGTTTACATGTATTCTTAACGGTGGATCTGGAGTAAAAATGATGCGTACTTTTCTGTAGTACCGGCATGCAGCTGGCGATGGTGGCTCAAAGCTTGTGAATGCGCTGAACATCTGGGAGGCAAGAGTGGGTCTAGTTCCGACAATCTCACAGAGATCAAGATAAGTATTACTGAGCGAAATCAATCTATGGTGAGACCTTGTCTTGGGTTACTAAAAGAACAAAATTACCCAGGCGCGATGGCCAGGCTGTTGTAGGTCCAGCTATCCGTGGGCTCAAGCAAGAGGCGCTACGCTTCTGATGGGAGGCAGATGCGTTTCGGCAGTAGGAGCGGCATCAGTACGGACTGAACTCCAGGGCCTGGCGGGACAGCTAAGGCTGCGCTATGGTCTAAGAGACAAAAACCAATATAACAACTATAAATATCAAACATGCGAGAAAAAAACAAAAAACGCGTTTATTGGAGAGGAGTTCGCGTCTGCAGCGCGTGGTTGCGAGAGGCAGGCACATGATCTCAGCGCACTCAACTGCTCTGCCTCACCACTGCCGACGCTTTCAAGACCATAGTGCGTGCGGGACACGGATGGTGAGTAGCTGGGAGTGATCAGGGGACCAGTCTGTCCACCTTAGATCCTCTCGGATATATATATATATGTTTATTAGTTTATATATTTTTTCTTTTTGAGAAGAACACTAAGGAAACAGTACGTCTCATCGGTTGCCGCTCGCAGGTTAGGTGGGAGTGCAGTGGATGGATTCGTCTGAGTGTCGAGCCCTGTGTCGCGGTTGAATGTTCATAATCACCCGACTGTCGACGCAATGAGAAATGTTGCTGAATACGGCCGAGGCAGAGGTGCTGGTGTGAGTGAGGATCATGTGCGCTGCGTCTCCAACCTGGGCTGTGTCAGAGTCGAGACTCGTGTCTCCAAAAAAAGGTGTTTTTTTGGGTTTTTTTTTGTTTTTTGGTTTGTGTTATTTGTTTTTGTTGTTTAGACAGAGTCGTTGCGTCGTCGCGAGCTGGAGGGAGTCGGTACGATCTCGGCTCTCGCAACCTCTGCCTCCTGAGTTCGAGTGTTCTCTTGCTTGAGCCTCCGGGAATAGCTGGGATACAGGGCGCCTGCCATCGGCCTGTGGTAATTTTGTTCTATTTTTAGTAAGAGCACGGTTTACCATGTATGACCCAGGATTATCTTGATCTCTTGAGCTTGTGATCTGCCCACTTTGGCCTCCAGAGTGCTGGCATTACAGGCGTGAGCCACCCATGTCTGGCTAAAAAAGAGCTATTTTTATCAGGTCAGTTAAGGAATAAGGTAAAAGTCGCACTCCAGTGTTGCTAGTGGGTAGTATGATTTGTAGAAGGGCACTTGGTAAGTATCAATCAGAAATTTTTAATGCACATGCCTTTGGACTTCAGTTTTATGTCTGGAAATTATTCACCAATATATTGTAAGATGTTTGAAATGATGAATGATGGTTATGTCGCTGCAACTGTTTACTATAATAGTAAATGGTTGTGGAAGGTCGCTGAGGTCCAATCAATAAGGGAGCTTGTTAAATAAAAATGTGACATTTGTCCGTCATTAATTGTGACTACTGTGCCAGGCCGGAAAACAAAAATGTGTATGGCTAAATAGAGAAATCTCTAAACTATATTACTAATATAAAAAGCAAAACAAAGTACATCATGCATACCACTTGTGTGAAAACAGGGAGAAGATAAAGGCGTGTGTGTGTGGTTATGTCTCGTGTGTGACAGTAGTATATAATGTATGTATATGTTAGTGATTTATGCATAATATGTTGCTATAATATCTCTGAAAGAAACTAGTAGATTGATTGTACCAGAGAGGAAGACCTTGTTATAGGTTAGTGTTGGTTGTTGGTGGTTAATTTAAAACCATGTGAAAGTATTACCTATTACATTCTTTTTTTTTTTTTTTTTTTGAGACGGAGTCTCACTTTATCACCCAGGCTGGGGTGCAGTGGCTGGATCTCAGGCTCACTGCAAGCTCACCTCCCAGGTTTACCCCATTCTCTGCCTCAGCCTCCGAGTAGCTGAGACTACAGGCGCCCGCCACCTCGCCTGGGTAT